CTTCCCGTTCTTGTCCGGTCAGGTTCCCCAAAATGGCCATTTCGCTCGAGACATCCTCAAAAAATCGAGGTGTGGTCTGCCGTGCTCCTGTGTGGTCTGCCTTGCTCCTGTGGTCTGCCGTGCTCCCCACAGGAGCACGGCAGACCGCGCGCAGGAACCGAGAGGAGCACGGCAGACCAAGACGAGGAGCACGGCAGACCAGGCTTAGGAACCGAGAGGAGCACGGCAGACCAAGACGAGGAGCACGGCAGACCAGGCACAAAGAGCGCCCTCAAGACGACGGAAAGGATGACCAAGACGAGGAGCACGGCAGACCAAGACGAGGAGCACGGCAGACTATGCCTTAAGAGTGCCCTCAAGACGGCCGAACAATCATCAAACAAACAATGAGTCTAACGTCGTCTTGGAATCGTTTTTGAGGGCATCAGTACGGCCCCCCAAAAACAAAATCGGCCCAAAGATGACCCGCAGAGTGCCCTCAATACGGCCGACCATGACGATTTCGCTGGGGACGTGTTCAATAAATTAAGAGTGTATCAGCACCGACTGCTGCAACAACGCTGTGCTGGTCTGCCGTTCTCCTGTGGTCAGCTGTGCTGCTCTGCCGTGCTCCTGCGGTCTGCCGTTCTGGTCTGCCGTTCTGGTCTGCCGAGCTCCTGTGGTCTGCCTTCCTGGTCTGCCGTGCTGCTGCCGTCTGTCGTGTTGCTGCGCTGTGCCGTGTAAGCTGATAAACCGGTCAGACCGATGAAGAAAACGAGAGTCGGGTTACAACGGCTACGCAGATTTTAACTGCTAGTCCAAAGGCTCTCCAGAGGACCCCAACATCTCCCAAGCACACCCCGAGAAGTCCATCATCATCATCATCCTCATCATCATCATCATCATCATCATCACCATCATCATCACCATACTCATACTCATACTCATCATCATCATCCTCCTCCTCCTCATCATCATTATCATCATCGTACGCATCACCATCACCATCAGCAGCAACATGATCATCACCAACAACAGCAGCGTCAATGACATGATCTGGTCTGCTATGTTCCTATGGACTGCCGTGCTGGTCTGCCGTGCTGGTCTGCCGTGCCGGACTGCCGTGCTCGTCTGCCGTGTCGGTGTGTCGTGCTGGTCTGCCGTGCGGGTCTGCTGTTCTGGTCTGCCGTGCTGAAGCTGAAGCTTTGGGGGCTTAAAGCCAGAGAAAGAGAGAGACATAGAGAGATTGAGAGGGAGAGAGATTCTCTAACTAAGGGGTACGGGCTCCATCCCGAAACTCGTTGGCGGTTCTCTAACTAAGGGGTACGGGCTCCATCCCGAAACTCGTTGGCGGAAGACGGGAAGCGTCTTCGAGGTACGACAAGCAAGCGGGACGTTCTGGCTGAATCCTTGAGTAAATATATCTTTTCTTTAACTATATGGGTTGCCGCGCTGCACGGGATTTTTCGTTAACGGATTCCCCAAAATGGTCTGGCGTGCTCCTGTATGGTCTGCCGTGCTCTTGTGTGGATTGCCGTGCTCCTGTGTGGTCTGCCGTGCTCCCGTGGGGTCTGCCGTGTCCTGTGTGGTCTGCCGTGCTCCTGTGTGGTCTGCCGTGTTCCGGAAAATTGGCCGTTTCGCTCGGGACGTCCTCAAAAAATCGGCTCCGGAGGGGACTCCGAAGCAGCATTATCTTGGAATCGCTCCCGGAGGGCCTCCAAACGGCCCAAGAAAGCCCCCGAAGGCCCCCCAGAGGACCCCCAGAGCGCCCCAAGAGACCCCCAAGAGGCCCCCAAGGGGCGGCCAGAGGCCCGCCAGAGCGCCCAAAACGCCCCAAGAGACCCCCAAGAAGCCCCCCAGGGGCTCCAAAGAGGCGGCCAGAAGTCCCCCAGAACGCGCGAAAAGGCTCCAGGAGTTCCCTGAGAGCTTCATATCGCCCCATAGAGCCCCCGAAGGCCCCCCCCGGGACTCCCCCAAGAGGCCCCCGAGAGGCCAGAGGCTACGACAGCCCCAAGAGCGTCCAAGATACCTCCAAGACGGCGCCGAAGCCAGGAAACGCAACAGGGATGTTCTCTGACGTTCTCGCCAATACGGTCTCTGACGCACGTGGTGGATAAAAAACTGCGCTTCCCGTTCTTGTCCGGTCAGGTTCCGGAAAAATGGCCGTTTCGCTCGAGACATCCTCGAAAAATCGGCTCCGGAGGGGACTGCGAACCGGCATTATCTTGGAGTCGCTCCTGGGGGGCTTCAAAACGGCCCCAAAGAGCCCTCAAAGGCCCCCCAGGGGATCCCCGACACGGCCCAAGAGACCCCCAAGAGGCCCCCCAGAGGCGCCCAGATGCCCCCCAGAGCGCGCGAAGAGGCCCTGGGACTTGCCAAGAGAGCCCCAAAACAGTCCAAGAGAACGCCAAGACAGCCCACGAGAGACCCCACACACCTCGAGACACTCCCGGACAGTCCAAGAGGGTCACATTAGCCTCCAAGAGGCTCCTAAAACGTTCCGAACGGCCCCAACAATTGCCGTTTCGCTCGAGACCTCTTCAACAAATCGGGTTCGGAGGGGACTCCGAACTGGCATTGTCTTGGAGTCGCTCCCGGAGGGCTTCAAAACGGCCCGAAAGAGCCCCAAAAGGCTCCCCAGGGGACCCCCAAAACGGCCCAAGAGACCCCCAAGAGGCCCCGAAGAGGCGCCCAGAGGCCCCCAAGAGGCGCCCAGAGGCCCCCCCGAGCGCGAGAAGAGGCCCCAGGACTGGCCAAGAGAGCCCCAAGACGGTCCAAGATAGCGCCAAGACAGCCCAAGAGAGCCCCCACAGACCCTCGAGAGACGCCTGGACAGTCCAAGAGGGTCACAGAAGCCTCCAAGAGGCTCCCAAAATGCTCTCCACGGGCCCCACTCAGGCCCCCAGAGCCCCACGACAGTCCAAGATAACGCCAAGACAGCCCAAGAGACCCCCACAGACCCTCGAGAGACGCCTGGCCAGTCCAAGAGGGTCACAGATTTTTGAAAAATGGCCGTTTCGCTCGAGACATCCTCCAAACATCGGCCCAAGAGGGGACTCCGCATCGACGTCGTGTTCGAATCGCTCTTGGAGGGCTTTCCAAAGGCCCAAGGGAGGCCCAAAAGACGCCCCGGAGAGCCCCAGGAGCGCCCAAGAGCGCCCCAAGAAGACCCCAAGAGACCCCCAAGAGCGCTCCAGGAGCCACCCAGACAGCTCACAAGAACCCCAAGACGGCCCGAGAAGGGCCAAGAAGGCCCCAAGAGACTCCCGGGAGCGCCCCAGGAGGCCCCCAGCGCCGAGACGGCCTAAGAAAGCTCCCAGAGAACCCCACGACGCGCCCAGACAGCCCAAGAAGACCCCAGAAGACCATAAGAGGACCCAAAGGGCCCCCAAGAAGCCCCCAACAGGCCCCAAGAGAACCCCGCGCGGTGCCAGGAGCAACGTCTTTCCCCAATTATCTCATACTGTCCTCCGTCGTCGTCGTCGTCGTCGTCGTCGTCGTCGTCGTCGTCGTCGTCGTCGTCGTCGTCGTCGTCGTCGTCGTCGTCGTCGTCGTCGTCATCGCCCTCCGCATTCCTCCTCGTACTCGCCCTCGTTCTTTTCGTCCTCGTCCTTGTGCTTCTCTTCCTCGTCGTTTTTCCTCATGCTCCTCCTCGCTATCCTCACGTTCGCCACGTCGTCCTCGTCATCGACTCCTCGTTATCCTCGCCTTCCTTTTCTTCTTCGCCCAAAACGCCCATTAGACTACAGCGCCGCTTCCCGTTCTTGTCCGATCAGGTTCGGGCCAGGCGGGAGCGCGGCTGGAGGGCCGAGAACGCACACCGATGCCGATGCCCTTCCTTCTCCCTGTCGTTCCTGCCCTCCTGCAAGAGGCCTCGGACTCCCGAGCCCTCGCGTCGGGACCGGATGGCAACGGAGGGTTCGTTTGCCGCCGTTTCTGCCCTCTTGCAAGAGGCCTCGGAATCCCGAGCCCTCGCGTCGGGACCGGAGGGCCACGGAGGGCTCGTTTGCCGCCGTTCGGCCTCCGGGGGCCACTCCCTGGCCCCAGGGCGGGCAAGCATAAGCTCAGGCTGCGAGGCTGGTCCCGGGGAAGAGGTCCAGAGCTCTGGGGGGGGCACGCTGTTCGGCTGCACGAGAAGTGGCGTCTGGTGCGGGCACGCTGGGGCCCCAGGGTGACGGAGCGCGGTGCCATCGCGACAGGCGGCGTCTTGCGCTATCGGGTCTGGCCTCCCTTCGGACCCCGGAAGTCTCACACCAGGGTCACGCTTGAAGGTCATTCTTGCGTGTAGCCGAGCTGTAAAGCACACGCGGCGTCGGATGTTTGAGGGGGGGGCAAGGCGCGAGGGGGGAGGGCCTTCGAATTCGAAGAGGGCGGAGGGGCCTCCAAGAAGCCAGGGCCGACCGCCACGGGCGTCCAGCGCCGATCCGAGAAATCCGCTCGGAGCTCCGGAAATTTGCGTTTGTGGCGTGCTTTGTTTTTCTATTTTCGGAGAAGTGACTAAACGCTTCTTCTTGTTGCAGGGTTTCTCTGAAGGGCTCAGGCGACCCGTCCTCCTCGTCCTCCTCCTCCTCCTCCTCCTCCTCTGCTCCTGCTCCTGCTCCTCCTCATTCTCCTCCTTCTCCTCCCTCCTCCTCCTCCTCCTCCTCCTCTCCTCCTCCCCTCCATCTCCCTTTCCCTCCTCCTCCACCTCCTCCTTCTCCCTCCCCTCCTCCTCCTCCTCCTCCTCCCCTCCTTCCTCCTCCTCCTCCACCTCCTCCTGCTCCTCCTCCTCCTTCTCCTCCTCCATCTCCCTCCCCCTCCCCCTCCTCCTCTCCCCCTCCTCCTCCTCCTCCTCCTCCTCCCTCCTCTCTCCTCCTCCCCCTCCTCCTCCTCCACCTCCTCCTCCTCCTCCTCCTCCTCCTCCTCCTCCTCCTCCTTCTCGGGTCGCCTACAGCCCCCGGGGAAACCGTGCACTTGTTGGATGCGGGGAGGGGAGGTTCTAAGGAGCCACCCCGCCTTCTCAGAAGCTCCTCCCGGGGCTCCTCCGAAAGGCCGCCGCACTCGCCCCTCACGCGCCCCGCCGATGGGGGGCGGGCCCGCCCTCGCAGCCTCCCGAGGTGAAGCCAATCGAGAAGGACAACCAGGACGTCATCTGCGCCACCGCGGGCAGGCTGCTCGACGCGATCGACAGCGGCAAGATCTCCCTGATGTTTGTGCAGGTGGTCGTGCTCGACGAGGCGGACCAGATGCTGGACCTGGCCGTGGGCCTGGAGGGGACGGTGACGGCCATCACCGACGGGAGGGACATGCCCGGGAAGGAGGACCGCCAGACGCTCCTCTTCTCGGCCACGATGCCTGACTTCCAGACCAGGCAGTTCCACTCGGCCCTCAAGAAGCCGCCGCACCGCGCCAAGCTTCGGGTCGGCCACTACACGGAGGACGAGAAGGGCGGGTCGTGCAAGCACATCACGCAGCACGTCTGCAAGGTGCCGCGAGTGGTGGGGATGGGCCTACACCCCTGCCGGCAGCCGCTCGCAGCCACCCGTGTTTGGGGGGGCATGCTCACGAACGCTCCGGGAGGAGGAGGAGAAGGAGGAGAAGGAGGAGGAGGAGGAGGCGGAGCAGGAGGAGGAGGAGGAGGAGGAGGAGGAGGAGGAGGAGGAGGAGGAGGAGGAGGAGGAGGAGCAGGAGGAAGGACTCAGGAGTCTCCCAGCGGACCTGGCGGGTTGGGACACTCTGGGGGGGGGGGCCCGGGAGCCGTGGCTCCACGAGTGGAGCCCAGAGCCATGGGGGCACCGGCGGGCACCATCCAAGACGCGCAGAGGTGTTCCGAGCGGGCACCCCGAGTCAGGAGGGGAAAAACACACACAGACACAATGAATCGTCGATTCCCCAGAAAATATGGAAAAATATGGGAAGTGGGGGGAAACGAGAACCCATAAAATATAGGAAAACATGGGGAAGCCGGTCATTTGTGTGTATTTATTTTCCGTGTCTCAGGGCCCCTTCACTGATGACGGCAGGAAGCGGCAGCAACGGTCTCATGCCGAGTCCCCCAGCCAGTGTTGGCTGGAGCGGTTGGCCAGGAGGGATCGAGTCCCTCGACCCCTCCCCGCTCGCGCAAGGTCGCCTCGTCCTGCTACTCCTGCTCCTGCTCCTGCTCCTGCTCCTGCTACTGCTCCTACTGCTGCTGCTGCTGCTCCTCCTCTTCCTCCTCCTCCCCATGCCCTGCCCACCACCAGAGTACGGGTAATCTTCCGGAAGGGGTTTAGCAAAAAAACGCCGAGTTTGCGACTTCGGCATGAGTCAGTTGGTAAAGTGCTCACGCGAACGCGCACTACTCTGAGCGCTAGGGAGTTTGAGCCGCAAGCGAGCTCTATGCTGGAAGGCTCAGCTTGCGCAGACCGCAGATTGCGGACAGGGTCGCCAGGGCCATCTCCAGGAAGGCATCGCCGAAACCACAGTCTATGGGTTTCCCGTCTCCCAGGTGCGCGATATGGACGATCGGTGGCAGAGGCTCGGGAGGGACATGATGGAGCTGTGGGGGCCGACCAAGGAAACCAGGGGAACCACAACCACAGCATGGCCGCGGTTCGGCCCCGTGTGCCCTCGCTGCGGTGTGGCCACGCCGCTTCCTCCTGCCTGCTCCCACCCACCCCTCTTCATCCTCGTCCTCGCCGGCCGCCTCGTCTCCGGTTCCTCCCAGCTCCTCCTTCCCTCCACCTCCTCCCTCCCACTTGCCTTCTCCCTCTCAGGCTCTCCCCCCACCCCACTCCCAGCCCCCCGACTCCGTGTTTTCTTTTTCCGCGCGGACCCCCGGAGGTCTCTCGACCCTTTCCTGGGACCGGCTTGCCATCGTCAGTTTTTCTCTCTGACGGCCTCGGAGCCCAGCAAAGAGGTCGGCCCCAGCTGGCCAAAAACATCCTGTCGTGACGTTTCCACAGCGCGAGGTGGTTTTCGGGGTCTTCCTTTCCGAGTCGATCCCAGATCGGTCCTTGGGTGCACTTTGATCGACGAAGCAAAAGCGCCAGAAACAGAAACTTTTGGCGCGGCGGCGCCGCCCCTGGCGCGCCCCGCGCGCCAGGGATGGGGGGTCCACCGCAGATCCAAGAAATCCGCACGGAGCGCCATAAGTTTATGTTTACGGCGTTAACCGCAGAGGGTCTTTAATGATGCCCCCCCCCCTAAGCTCTCGGCGGGAATAGAAACTCGTCCCTCCTCCCTCCTTCCCCTCCCTCCCTCCTTCCCCTTCTCCTCCTCCTCCTCCTCCTCCTCCTTTGGGGTTAACCTTGTTCTGTGTGACCAGGATTTCAGGGGTCACCCAGCCGCGGGCACCCGGGCGCCACAGGAGGCAGAACAGAGTCAGCAGCAGCACGAGCAGCATCAGCAGAAGCACTCGCTCCGTCCTGCCTCCCCTCCCCAAGGAGCGGCGCGAGGGCAAGGGCATCATATTCACCAACAGGACCCCGGCGGCCCCTGCGAGAGTCAGCGGGCGAAGAGCAGCACTCGGGAGGAGCTTCTGGACCGCATCAGGACGGCTGGAGTGCGTACGGTCGGGGGCTTTGGGTTGCGCGTCGCGCCGCCAAGTCTGGCCCACCACGCTCGAGCGCAACACGCGAGCCACGTCCCCATCTCCGAGCGTCAGCGCCCCGAGCCTCTCCCAGCCCCCCGCCCTGCGGGGCGTTGCGAGAGCGGGTCGCCGGGGCCGCCGCCGCGACACGCCAAGCCGAGGTTGCAGATCAGATGCCCCGATGTCTCGGTAGCCATTCAGGGGAGCCTCGTGTACCCTCGGAAGTCTGTCCCTAGAGCGCCCTCGCTTCGATTAGAGTCTGGTCATCGATGCAATAGCGCAGATTTGGAGTCCCACCAGCGTGGATTCGCGTCGGTTGCCGTCGGTTTAGCGTCGGTTGGCGCCGACTAGCGTCGATGAGCGTCGATGCGCAAGCGCCAGCAAGATCGTATGGGAGGAGGAGGAGGAGGAGGACGAGGAGGAGGAGGAGGAGGAAGAGGAGGAGGAGGAGGAGGAGGAGATGTTAATGGAGGTAGGAGGAAGGAGAGGAGGAGGAGGAGGAGGAGGAGGAGGAGCGATGAGAGAGGGGGAGGGGAGGATGAGGAGGAGGAGGAGGAGGAGGAGGAGGAGGAGGAGGAGAATTTGAATGGGTGAAGTCAGGAGGGGATGGAGGAGGTGAGGAGCGAGGAGACGGGTGATGAGGCTAGGTGGATGATAGGAAGATGTGCGGCCCCATTAATTGCCGCAGAGCCTTGTTCTGCCAGCACTCCCAGCCGCCCCAAGGCGGAAGCGCCTCCCCCCCCCCAGGCGGCGGAGCGAGGCCTCCGGCTTCCGCCGCCGCGTCGCCAGCCGTGCGGCGCGAGAGCGGCAGCCGCTCTGCCCACAGTTGGGGGGTCGAGCAAGAGTAGTAGGAGGAGGAGGAGGAGGAGGAGGAGCAGGAGGCGGAGGAGGAGGAGGAGGAGGAGGAGGAGGAGGAGGAGGAGGAGGTGAAGGAGGAGGAGGCGGCGAGGAGGAGGAGGGAGGAGAGAAGGGAGGCGGAGGAGGAGGAGGAGGAGGAGGAGGAGGAGGAGGGGAGGAGGAGGGAGGAGGAGGATTAGGCGGAGGAGCAGGAGGAGTAGGATAGGAGGAGGAGGAGGAGGAGGAGGAGGGAGGAGGATCAGGAAGAGGGGGAGGAGCGTAGGAGGAGGCGGAGGAGGAGGAGGAGGAGGAGGATGAGGAGGAGGAGGCGGAGGAGGAGGAGGAGGAGTAAGGAGGAGGAGGACGGAGGAGGAGGAGGAGGAGGAGGAGGAGGAGGGGAGGAGGGGAGGGAGGGAGGAGGAGGAGAGGAGGAGCAGGGAGGAGGAGGAGGAGGAGGAGGAGGAGGAGGAGGAGGAGGAGGAGCAGGAAGAGGGGGAGGGAGGAGGAGGAGGAGGAGGAGGAGGAGGAGGAGGAGCAGTGGATCATCGAACACAAGAACCCCGAACCCTAAGAACACGATGAAGACGTGGCCTCAGTGGGGTTCCCGTCGTCGCATCAGGGATAGTAATTCTGGGCGGCTTGGTCTGAGACACCTGTAGGAAAAAGAGTCGATATCCCTATTGCTTTCGGCCCTCCTGACTCAGGTCCTCTCCCAGAGGATTAGGGGTCTTTTTCGGGGGGTTCATCAGTGGAGATTGCCACGGAGTTTTGTCCACCGCCTTTCTGCGACTTGACTTGCATTGCACGTGTGTCCTTGTGCTCGCTGGTCCGTATATCGCGCGTTTGGGATAGCCCCCCCCCGTGAGGGGCAGCGGGTTTACCGATCTGCTATTCCTGGTTGTCTTCGTATGACAAAGGTTCGGAGGGCACGTGGGTCGAAGTTCGGTCGACGCACAAACAAAATGCATCAACATACGGCAGGTTCGCGTCATGTCAACAAGCGGCGATCCCGCCGCCGGCGTTCAACGTTGAACGCCGCCAGCGACCCATAATCGGTCGATGCTGAACGATCTGACGTTTCGGCAACGGCCGATCGTTCGAGGCTGAACGATCCCCGCAGTGTCAGTAACCAACGCCGGAGTCGGCACGACACCAACCTGCCGTAAACATACATTGTCGAGGCTCTGCGCGGATTTCTCCGATCGGCGCTTGGGACCCCTGGCGGCGCTTCTGGCGCCGCCCCTGGCGCGCGCTCCGAGCGCCAGGTAGGGGGGCTTCAGCGCAGATCCAAGGACTTCGCGCGGACCTCTGGAAGTTCATGTGTATGCGGTTTTTATTCCTCTACTCTGGATGGGGCAATAATCGCCCCCTCCTTGAATCCGCTGGGGGGTTGTGTACGGAATGTTCAAACGGGTGTTGAAGGAGGAGAAGGAGGAGGGGGAGGAGGAGGAGGAGGGGGAGGAGGAGGAGGAGGAGGAGGAGGAGGAGGAGGAGGAGGAGGAAGCAGGAGGAGGAGGAAGGAGGAGGAGTGGATTAAGAGGATTAAGGAGGAGGAGAGGAGGAGGAGGAGGCGGAGGAGGAGGAGGAGGAGGAGGTGGAGGATGGGCGGGGGGATAGGGGCGTGGATTAGCGACGGCTCCAGTTTCCATGGGAAATCGCGGTTCTCCGCCGCCCAGCGAGGCGGCACCGGCCGCCTTCTGGGGAGAGCACCTCCCCCGATCCATGGAGTTGGCGACCGCGCGCCAAATCCATGGATCACTAATCCATCTTTGCGCGCCCTTGACAATATTCCACCTAGAGTACTATGTTGGCCTATGGGAGGGAAGGCAGCCGCGGGCACCTGGCGTTGCCAGCGCATCGGGACGGCCCTTATGCGTCACGGTACGCAGCAGCATCGCCATCCAGCCACAGGCGCTTGGGTAATCATGTTCCAGCGCCAGGAGGCCTTTTCAGCCCTCCCCCTCTTCCCTCCTCCTCCTTCTCCTCCTCCTCCTTCTCCTCCTCCTCGTCCTCCTCCTCCTCTTCCTCCTCCCTCCTCATCCTCCCTACATCACTTGCGGCCTCCTCCTCCTCCCTCTCCTCCTCCTCACCTTCCCCTATCCTCCTCCTACGCATCCTCCTTCCTATCTTCCTCCTCATACGTCTCCTCTCTCTATCACACTCCTTCCTACATGATCCTCTTCTCCTCCCTCCTCCTACTCTTCCCCCCCCCCCCCCTCCTCCTCCTCCTCCTCCTTCCTCCTCCTCCTCTCCTCCGCCTCATTCCTTCTCCTCCTCCTCCTCCTCATCCTCCCTCCTCCTCCCTCAGCCTCTCCTCCTTCCTTACTCCTCCTCCTCTCTCATCCTCCTCCTCCACATCCTCCTCCTCCCTCCCTCCTCTCTCCTCCCTCTCCTCGTCCTCCTCCTCCTCCTTCTCCCTCCTCCTCCTCCTGCCTCCTCATCCTCCTCCTCCTCCTCCTCCTCCACCGCCTTCTCCCTCCTCCTCCTCCTCCTCCTCCTTCTCCCTCCTCCGCACTTCCCGAGGATCGCGCTGGCCAACCCGCTGGAGCAGGGCCTCAGGAGGTTTGGCATCACGGCGGGCCAGCTCCACGGCAAGCAGACGCAGGACTCCGAGGGCCACGCCCGCCTGCTTCTAGCAGACTCAGCAGCAAGGTGGTCGTTGCTTTAATGACTGCTTTGCCGATCGGCGCGGACCCTCGCACCCCCCCTCCTCCCCCCCCGTGGAGGAGATTCTCGGCTGTTCTCGGCGTCAGTCGCAGGTGGAGCCCCTGCCCCCCCACGCAGGACGCACTGTTGCAAACGGTCGCGCTGAGCAGAGGTACGGAGCCAGACCCCCCACCCCCCTCTCCGCCCACTGTCGAAACGCCGAATGTCTGGCATGCCCACCTACAGGAGGAATACTGCAGAACAGTTGAAACATAGTCTGGTGACGTCTTCGACTATGTTTTGAATGTTTTTGACTGAGGAGGGCATGTCCGACCTATTACCAGCGTCTGGGGCCTACGCCAAGTACTGTTCTCACTTTCTAGCCACATGCGTTTGTAGACACATTGGATGCCGCTACTTAAACACATACACGTGCATATGTTCATATACATACTTTCTTGGGGATGGATCCGTCTAAAGACAACGTGACCGTTGCGTTCGGCGCAGTACAACGTCGGAGAAAGGGCAGATACGTCAACGGCATGCTCCTGTTCTGGAGCAGGTCTCACATGGTACCCCCACGCAGGACATGCGGGAAGAGGTGGTCAAGAAGTTCAGGAAGGGCGAGTACGAGGTGCTGATCGCCTCCAACGTCGCCTCGCGAGGCCTGGATTTCCCAGACATCCGGCTCGTGGTGCAGTTCGAGCTGCCGAAGACGGTGGAGATCTACACCCACAGGATCGGCCGCACGGGCAGAAACGGCCAGACGGGCACGGCCCTCTCCTACTTCCAGGCGGCGGCGCCTCGGAAAGCGTCTCCCCTCCTCAGGAGGAGGAGGAGGAGGAGGAGGAGGAGGAGGAGGAGGAGGAGGAGGAGGAGGAGGCCACCCACTCCCTGAGATCCTGGCGTCTACTTTTTCTTTCGAATCGGGCGTTGTCGCCCAGTTCCAGGCCCTGGGGCCCTCACAGGTCCATTTGCCTGGACCAACACAAAGGTCAGAGAAGGTGGGGTCGGGAGCTCTTGTCGTGATGCTTCACTATGCAGATGTGTTTCTCGCGTCGTCGGATCTCGAGGTCCACACCACCCGGAGGCCCTAAGCCGAACTGGACCTGAGAGCAAAATCGACGCCTCGGATCCGGCAGAAGAGTCTGGCAAACACCAGGCGGTGAGGCGGCGGAGGCAGTGTGCCAACACCAGTGCCCTCGAGGTTCAGCGGTCGAAGAACGATACAACTACCATACACTTTGCTGCCGTCGGGGGCGCCTGCCCCCCGGGCGGCTGCAAAGTTTCTACTCCTACGGTGCGGCACTTTTCATCATCCCCGTCTGGCGTTCATGGGGGAAACAAGCTCCTCGCCGCTGCTCAGGTGGGTGGCGGCGGGTACGACGCGAAGCTCGCGAAGCCGCTGCTGGAGTTCCTGAGGCTCAACGACCAGCGGCCGCCAGAGTTCCTGGAGGAGCTGGTGGAGCCTGGCGCCAGCCGGCGGCGGTCGCGATCCCGAGACAGAAGAGGCGGCCCCCCAGATCCAGCGTCGGGAAAAGATCGCGACGCCGTGAAGCACCACTCGACGGCGAGCCCACGGGGGGGAATGCCTGAGGAGCTTCCCGAGCCTTCTATCCGAATGCAGGAGGCGGCTTCTCAGACGGCCGGAGAGCTTTTGAGGAGCTGCGCTGTCTTCTGAGAAGGCCTGCCCCCTGTCGTGTTGCCCCCTTGGGCGCGCCGCCGAAGCACTCCAATCGATCAGTGGCGAGGCGCCCTGGCTTGCCCATAGGCGCACCGAAGAATGTCCTGATAGCCTCTCGTGTTCTCCACGAGCTGTTCTCAGAACATCTCTGGCTGAGGCTGTCCTGCTTTACCGCATCGGGCTCATGTTCTAAGAACGTGGTTTTCGTCACTACAACAGGTCTGTGACTTCATCACGTTTCGTGGTAGGCCCATCGGGGTGCCGGGACGGTCGGTCCCTGCTCAATCCCGGAGCCCCCGGTTTGATCTTATATGCACGGCAGCTCGTCAGAGCCCCGAGCCATCAGGGGTAATTCGGGCAGGGCAATCTCGTTTTTTTTTGTGTCTTCGGCACTCCGAGCCCGAGTTGCCCCGGGCCCGAGTCACCTTGGACAATCCGGGCGCCCAGAGCCCCCAATCATCAGGGGCACCTCGGGTCAGGGGTCAGGGCAGACTCGGTTCGGGAATCCAGGCCCGAGTTTCTCCGGGCGCCCGAGCTCGGGCCAAGTCGGTCGGGGCGGGAGGAGCGCGCGTCCGCCGTGCTGTCTTTTCCCGCGGCGCCTGGATGCGAGGCAGCGACCCCAGAGGCTCGGGCGGCGGTCGGGAGCACGACCGCGGAGGCTCCGGCGGAGGCGGCGGCGGGGGCGGCTACGGCGGGGGCGGCTATGGCGGGGGCGGCTGTGGCGGGGGCGGGGGCGGCGGAGGCGGCTGCGGCGGCTACGGTGGCGGCTGTGGCGGGGGCTGCGGCGGCTGGGGCGGAGGCGGCGGAGGTGCCCTGGCTCGCCACGAAGGGGGGCCCTCTGGGAAAGTGGGCCTGAGGTCTCTTTCTCTCCCTTCTTCCCTCCGCCTGCGGTGCCGCTCCCACGCCCGGGTGCGGTCGAGAGGCGGCTCGGGAGGAGCAGCTGGGCCGGGGCAGCGGCCCGAGAGGTGCAGGCTGTTTTCTGCGCGAGATTCGGAGTGGCCCCTTCGCCGGAGTGGCACTTCAGGGTGCGCGGCGTTCGGGGGACGCGGGGGTGGGGGCCCGCCCCGGGCGCGCCTGGCGCCGCCGTCGCACTTCTGCGCGGCGATCGGCAAGCCGCGCGCCACAGGTCGCGCTTGCTCTGTGGACGCCCCCCAGGGGCCCCCCCCCCGGAGTCGGGGGTTGGCCGGAGCCCCCAGTCTGACACGTCGACTAGTGAATTGTCCGTTTTCGGTTCTCGAGAGGGCGCCGCGGCCGTCATTTTCCAGGCTTGCGCCCTCCAGGTTTGGGCCCGAGGTCGTTTTCCCTAAACCACGTTTGGCTGAAAGAGGCTGTTGTCCATCCCCGAAAATGCCCAGGAGCGCCGGGCAGGTGTCAGGACTGTGTGGTCAGCCCATCGCGCCGCCCGTCCTGGCCCACCACGCTTGAGCGCGGCACGCAGACCACGTCCCAAGCCACAAGCCTCGGCGTCCCGAGCCTGTCCCCCGGGGGCGCCCGCCCCGCGCAGCGCAGCGGCCCGTGATCCGCTCGCAGGGCAGCGTGTCCCCGAGGCCATCGCCGCGAAGCGCTGAGCTGGTGGACGACGATCAGTGGATGGGAAGCATGTTGCTGACTCATTGCCCAGATGTCTAGGAAAATGCTGTCAATATGTAAAGCGACATCTTTTAGCTTTTTTCCTTAGAACACGATCAAGCATCTTAGAGAGCACAGCGATACTTCCAGGATGGGACTGTTAGGGTGTCCATCGTCCCAGCACGCACAGCGCGAAGCAGCAGTTCCCGACCGTCAAAAGCACGCGCAACAGCTCGGGAATTGCTCGGCGCAGACCGGCCCGCCGTCCCTCGGGCGCCCGAGGTGCCTGCGGCGGCTACGGCGGCTGCGGCAAGGGCCCGGCCGGAGGCTGGGGCGGCGGCGGCGGCGGCGGCTGCGGCTGGGGCGGCAAAGGCGGCGGGCAGCAGGGCAATACCCCCTCCTCCTGCCAGTGCGCTCCCAGGCCCCTTCGGGCAAGGAACAGAAAGCATGGGGGGAGGTTTCGCCGTATCTTCGGCCTCTGGGGGCCTCCACCGGGCCTCGGGACCGTCACAAAAACGACTCAGGATGAGGAGCCGGTCCTGGGGCATGGGTCGAGACCTCCTTGAGTCGACAAGACGGAGGAGTGACCTTTCGCCGGAGTGACCTTCGGGGCGGGCATAAATTGGTCCCCAGATCGCCGAACGCGATGCGGCAGTAGCGTCTTGCGCGGTTGTGCTCGGTCCTCCCGCAGCCCCCCAGAAGCCGCGCACCAAAAGGTCAGTCTTACCCAGGGTCACTCTAGCGTGTAGCCGATTTCTGGGGATCAGCGCCATGAGAAGATCGGGGCGTCGGGGGTCTGGTCTCTGCTGGTCCGTGGGCAGCCCGCGGGAGCTCCGGTTTCTGCTTGGAGCGTGCCCTCTGGCCTCGGGGATGTCTCTGCCCGCTCCTGGCGCCGAGGGGCGTCTGAGGCCCCCTCTCTGGGACCTCTCGTGGGAGTCGAAGGGCTATCTTAGGGAATCTTAGGGGATCAGCTTGCTTAGAAATAGCTGGGGGGGATCCCAAAAACATGATCAGAATCGATCTCCCCGGCCC